GGTCATAAAAAAGTTATGTAAAACAGAGAATTTTTTTTTTAAACTTTTAAGTCACTTAATTTTGTGTGATCTGGGCTTTCATGAGAGTAAAATAGCACAGCCTCCCTAATCCAACACCCAAGCAGATTATCGGCTGCTTCAGAAAAAAAAAAAGAAAAAGAAATAAAAAAAAGGCATGAATATCTTGAATTTCACCAACTACACAAAAGACTTGCATATGTCAAAATGCCGGACGAAAAGTCCCCGTGAAGGTAGCGCCATTAATCAAGCCTCCGATCTGGTGTCACTTTTGCCAGTAAAAAAACGATGCTGTCCCCCCACCCCCACCCCCACCGCCGGCTCCTGTGCGAAGTGTGTCCCCCGGGCTTCCATGTGCCTCCAGATAGCCTGGTCTCGGCACTTCCATCCTTGCCTTGGGAAAACCACTGCTCAGGGAGGCAGTCCACGCGCGCGCATCTCGGGGAGGGGAGAGCGGAGGCAGATCTCAACGACGCTTGGCTCCCTGGGAAGGAGAGGTTTGTGGGAGTGGGGAGCACGGGGGGGGGGGGCAGACACAGGACACACGGGACTCCAGACCTGATCGTCGGTACGTAAAGAATGCTCCGGAGTGACAAAGCCATTCCCGGAGCAGCTGGGTGACACAGACGCATCGCCGGAATTCTCCTGTGCCCTCACCCCATTAAAAAAACATGGCAGCGTCCCTCCAGCTCACACCCCCTCCAGAGGAGCCTGCTCGGTGGCAGCAATAACTTGACCGTGTGGCGCAGGGCAGCGTCCCCAAAGCGTATTTCTTCTCCCTTGTCCTCCCAAATGTGGCACCGCATTCAACCGAGCGGCCAGGTCCTTGGAGAGTTTCAGCTGAAGGCAGGACCCAACCGGGCAGCCAGGGGAGCCTTCCTGGAGCCGCAGGAGCCGCAGGAGACAGTCCCCAAAAGTCAAGAACCTCATCTTCGCCCTCCCCCACAGACACATTTTTTTTCAAGCTTTGTCATATCTGTGGTCTGTATTGAGTTACAGCTTGTGAAACACCCCCAAGTTCCAAGGCACAGGACTGGGGATTTCTTCAGCGAGTGTTTTTAACGGTTCCTGCAGGCCAGAGGCCACTGCCCAGCCCCGGGCGGCCAGGTGACGGGGCCGCTTCATGTCTGAGTTGTCAGATAAGCCCGCTGCTGCGCTATGCTTACCACCGGCTCGACTCAAACATTAAACGAAGTAGAGAAATCATCAGATAAATTGCCGGCCCTCTGCGCGGAAGAGGGAAGGCTCCTCCGGCTGATGACAGCGCTCGGCTTTTGTCTGACCTAATTTATTTCTCTTTCAGGTTCGCATAAAGCACACTTTCCTGTCGCAGGCCAGCCTCTTCTGCCCAGATACTGAACTCAAGCACAAGACTCGGGGTGAACTGTGCTGCCTCCAGATTTCTTCAACTTGAAGACGAAGCCATCATAGATGCAGAAATGCTGTGATCAAAAGCACACACACACACACACACACACACACACACACATTCCCCAGCACCAGACTGCACATGAAGGGAGACATGGTCCCTTTAAAAGCCATCCATTGCGAGCCCCGTTTGGGGTGAAAGGGGTTCGCAACGTGGGGTCTAGCAAGCATACCCTCCTTCCGAACAAAGTTTCACGCGTTATTTGAGTTGGCATTTTATTTCTTTGGGGAATGATGCCCTGCCCCTTAGGACAGTGGGAACAGAACCCAATGAATGGAATTGAGAGTCCAAGCGTTATCAAACCTGAGCTAAAAGGACTTCCACTCATCAAGCCGTTTTAGGTACACGACTCCCCAAAGCAGTGGTTCTCGGCCGTCCCCCGCCTCTGTGACCTGCAGCCTAGGAAGGGACAGCACTCCTCCCAGACCCCCTCCCCCCGGGTCAGGCATGCCTCGGAGCCGAGGGGGATTCTCAGAAAAGTCCAGACCACAGACCAATCTGGGGGGAACGCACCATTCCAAACTAACCCTTTTAATTGTTTGTTTTAAAAAAAAGAGAGAAAGAAAATAAAATTGCCCCCACCTGCCAAGGGAGGGCTTGTAAATCAATGCTGATCGCTTGGAAATAGATTTCTCAAACTTATACTCTCATTCTGCCCGGCCCGAACCTCTGCAGGAAAATCAATGTTACAACTTCACACTTAACACATTTTTGCAGCCACGTAAAGGGCCTGAGCCGCCTAAGGAAGCCCATTCCTCGCCATTGTAGCCAAGGCGCCCAGACATGACACGGGCGCCGAGCGCCCCCTAGCTGCCTAGTGGCGCCACGCGCGTCTCGGCGCCTCAGGCTTGTCATCCATCCACCAGAAGCCAATGCAACTGAAAGTTTATTTTGGAAAGTCTTTTATCACAACAAGCACCAGAGATCGCAAAGCGATGGAGAAGGGAGATGAAAAGAGAAAGGGGACGGCTGGTGCAAGCCGTGTTCTCAGCGAAAAGGCCGTGCCAAGAGCCCGGTTCTGATAAGACGCTGGAAACCGGTGCACTCCACAGTCGGAAACGGATATCTCTGTGTAAAGGGGCCGTTTGGCCTGCTCCATCTCACGGAGACATTATGCTAATTACTGTCAAAGGCACCCGCAGCTGGCCGTTGCACAGTGGTCAGCAGAGCCTCGCATCCACCCCTCGGCCCTCAGCCTCCCTCCCTGTTCCTGAGGCCGGGTTCACCAGAGCGAACTGCCTTCACTCCAGCAGTTGAGAAATGACTCGTTTTCTGTTATGAAATATTTTGAAGGCCAGACAAAAATCACCAAGGCCAGAGCACAGGCAGATAGCGACTTCTTCCCCTCCAAAAAGAAAAAGAAATAGGCATCTGTACATAATATTCGGGGGGGGGGAGAGAAGAAAACCTTTAAAAATATTAGGGGTTGTTAAAATATGCTCACGGCTGTTTTCGCTCAGGTGTGAATTACAAATGAATAAAATCAGCCCGGCATCACACCTTTGACGAACACGTTTTATTCTCCCGTGGAATCAGAGCAGCTGACTTATATCACACTTCTAATGATATGGGGTTTCCTTCTGTGCAGAAGGGAGAGAGACTTCACTCCCCCTACCAGCTACCCCCCCCCCAAAAAAAGAAGGGCCTATAGCTTATGATATTGATCAGAGGCCCGATTTTGAAAGATCGGCGGACAACTGGAGATGTACGACCATACCCTGGGGGGTTACGATCCCCGTAAGCACCGCCACCTTCCACACAGACAGCTACAGCAACGCCTGATGCCGAGGCACCCGTGGAACTCACACGGCCGAACTTCGGGTCAAATCTTGGGTCTCTAGTTGTTTCACAAAATCGTGAATTCTCGTGGAAAACGGCTCATCTCCCACAGAAACCTGTTGGTGGGCCGTTGAGATCTCCCCTTTCCCGGGGTGATGTGATGCACCGCAGGCATCTCAGTTTCTTGGGAAACCTCAACTCCTCATGGACGGGTGCTCGTGCCCTGCCTCTCACCCTGGGTGGCACCGCGGGCTCAAGGCCCTTCCCTCGGCCTGCTCACCCCGGCCGCTCTTCCTGGAACCCTCTTCACTACTGTCACTGCGTTGTTTTGCGTTTGTTTTTAGATTAATCGCTGTATCTGTCCTCCGGTTTGAAAAGCCATCTCCATCTGGGTCAAACATTTTGAAACAAACCAGAAGCCCAGGTTTTCATCCCCAGCTGTCTCCCGCACTCCTCATACCTCCCTCCGCTTCTCAGGGGTCCTGTCTGCAAATGTAACCAGCTCATCACGGAGCCCTTCGACTCCCCCCCGACACCCCAAGGTTATCCAGGCTCTTTCTGTGCTCTTGGTGTTTCCCAGACCATCAGTTCTTCCTGGGCTGCATCTTCCCTGAAGAACCCACGGTTGCTGCTCCCCAGGCCGGCCGGCTGCCCCCCAACCGAAGCTGTACCACGCTGTAGGTGGTTCCTTTCACATTTAAAATCTAAAATGTGAACTCCAGGTGGGGGCTGTGACAGCACCCATTTTGCTGGCCAGGGCTCCAGCGCACCTCCCGGCCATGCCCCCAGCATCGTGGAGGGACACAGGCAGGGACCGGTGCAGCCTAAACTGCACCCAGTTCTGGCCTTTCCCCAGCCTGGACTCCCACCTCCCGGTGACACAGGACAGACAGAAAAGCCAGCTGCTTGTGGATAATAAATAGCCTTGTCTGCAAACTGGTTGGGCCACTCTCCCCGCTTAAACCCCTGCACATGCTTTGGACGCCCTGTGCCCTGAGAGGCAGGCGGGATACCCTTTGCCCTCTCGCCTCCTCGTCCCCACCTCCCTCCTCCTTTTCCCTCCCTGCCACGGCTCCCGCACTGGCTTTCCCCAGCACCGCTCTGAGCACGGCTAAGAGAGACTCAGAACAAATGAAACATGGAAGGATGTCACACCAGGCACCCCTGGGCCCCCTCACCCAGCTGCCTTCCGTCCTCCTGGTCCGGGCTTTCTCCCCGAAGCCCAGAAAGGGAGCCAGCAAAAGCCAAGCAAACCTACCTGCTTCTTCCCCCTGACACACAACTGCAAACACGCCCGGCTGCTTTTTTGAAGCTGCTAGCTTAGCAATGCACCCCCACGACTCCCCCTTTCCCAGACCCCCCACCCCAACTTTCCCCTCCTCAAAAACAACTCTTGCCATTCTTCAGAAGCTGTGTGGGGCAAATTGCCTCCCGGAGAGATTAGGCATCTGCAAGTACAGACATTCTAACCACCACTCCACTATCTGTCTAAAGGTGGGGGGTCAGGGTGAGAAGCAATTGATTATCCGTAAAGGGCACAATGTCAACTGGCAAAAAGGAGGATCTGGGTCAAGCCAGGCTCAAATCTGGTTGCAAAACATTCTGTTTTAAATGCACCCGGGAAGTCCTCTTTCAGGTTAGAATGGTGCAAAATAAAAGAGACGTCCTCGTCCTTCCCTCCAAAGGCACCCCTCTCCCAAGGCGAACCCCACATTGATACCTATTACCTTCCACCCCCCCCAAAAAAAATAAGAATAAATCCACAAATTCTTACTAAGGTATCTGCTGTAACAAAGGAGCGACGGCAGCAGCAACTGCTCCGAGCAGATGGCTCCTATGCTGGGTATTCAGGGGAGGGGAGAACCCCTTTATATATATATATTTATTTATTTATTTAAATTTTTTAAAATATAACATAAATATTCGGCTCTCCGCTGCCCTGCAGCCAGTCCTCCGCGGCCGCGGCGGCGACTGGGCGCGCAGTCGTCTCCAGCTCCACGCGGGCAGCCCGAGAAGCGAGGCGCCCGGAGGATTTCAGGAACACAACCTGCCCGCGGTCTCGATGGCACCCAGAGGATGTTTTATTTCTATTGCAATATAATTTTAAATATATATATATATACACATGTCAACGGCGACCCAGGCACCGCGAGAGAAAGGACCGCAGGAGAACCTTCCCGCGCCGCGAAGCAGTCGCTGGCCGGCCCGGAACGTGCAGCCGCCTTCTCGGTGCAACGCGCGGGCACCGGGGCAGCTACGCTGCCAAGCCTGCACCTGGACCGCTCTGCGCCGCTTCTCCTTCTCCCAATGAGCCCAACTGGGCGCTGGAAGCTGCCGCCGCTCTGCCCCGCTGCCTGACTCTGTCCGCCGCGCCATTGGCTTGAAATCCACAGGATTTCAGCCCATGGCTTTCCCCTGCGACCTGCCTTGTTTATTTAGATAGAGAAGATGAAAGATGCTGGATAGAAGGATGGGTAAGAGATTGATAGGTCTCCTTTTCTTCTTTTTTTTCTTTCTCTTTCTCTCTTTTTTTTTTTTTACTACTAATTTACAAGCACATCCCTCGCTTCCCACTCCTAGCTGACAATCTTTGCCCCCCCCCCCACCACCACCACCACCCCGTGGCGGGGATTTTTCATCAAACCCCCCCCAATCGCCCCCACCCCCACCTTTTTTTGGAGTGGGGGAAAGAAGAGAAGATCATCCCAGGAGACTGCGGAGGTGGGGAGATAGGGGTGGGGGTGCAGGAGCCGGCAAACAGCCGCGCAGCTGGATTCTTTTGCAAATAGCGAGAGGAGGGGTGAGAACGCCGGCTTCGGAATCCGAAGACCGGCGTGGCCGGAGCCCTGCCGGGCTGGGTGCAGCGACCCGGGCCTCGGAGCCGGCGGCCGCCGATCGACCCGCGTCTCCCCCAGTCCAGAGCGCACCCCGCTCTCCTCCGCCCGCGCCGTCAGCGCGGACCCACGCGCTCGCCAACTTTTCCCCACTTCCCAGCTC